GACACCATTGGAAACATTGGTTATAATACCAAAGCTTTGACTGGAATGTCACATTTGAGACATACATAGACTGAGATATGACAGACAGCTCCAAGGAATTAGGATAGACTTTATGGAGCCATTAAAACCTGTTGAGAATGTTAGCCTGATATGTTGCTTACTGAGTGCCCAGCAGCCTTACCAGGTGAGTAAAGAATGTTACTTCCTGGCAGGTGCAAGAACCCTCAGGGTATTTGGGGATCTCAAGAAGAGGAATGCACCCTAACTTATAGGTATTGCAAACAAATATTTGGCTTTACTCTGGCTTTAAGAAGCTATTAAAAGTTCATTCTAAAGATTCCTTATAAAAAGTCCTAGCAAAGCAGATTTTAAAAGATCTATATGATCAATCACTATTTTTGCTAAGATTATATAATTAGGCCAAATTTGTTAAAACTGGACTTGTTTTATAAATGAATTAGTCTTGATTTGGTTGTCTTTGGAAATAAGAGTGAATTTAGAGAGAAAAATTATGCTTCAATAATGCATCCTTATGGATGTAAGATTCTAGTTTTAATTGTCTTTAAATGTTTGTTGTTTGCCTAAACTAGACAACTTGAGGTAAACTTCAGACACATTGCCATAATAGCTCATATATAGACAATCTTTCTGCTTATCACTTTATGGGGATAATAAAAGGGACCCCATGGGCATATGATTATTTAAACAGTTGGACACTAGGATGAATGCCCCAACAATTATGTAACTCAGCCGTCACCTTGATCAATTCTATGTGGTTGGGATAACAAAATTTTTCCTTAAAAGTCAGAGCATACCCTACCCCATGGGGTTAACTATGAATTAGTGGAGATATGAATGGCTCCACCTTCCTTAAAATTGGATTGGAGAATGTACTTGGGGATGCCCTAATCTCCTGGGACAAGTCATCTCCCACTTGCCAGCAATTCCTCCTAATTAGGATACTGTTAAGGCTAGATGTTAGGCAAAGAAGGCTTCTTAATGCTTTTATCCCTCAGCCATATTTGTCCTGGGAGCCACCTCTGTTATTGTATAATTATAAGTACAGTCTTTGGCAAAGCATACAGTGGCTGTCTTTAACCAAACCCAACACAAAGTCAGCCCCATAACAGCATATATAGGTATCTTTCTATTACTAAAAAGAATGTTTCTTATTGGCCTATGGTAATGTTACATGGGACTCTCTAGTCTATAGGCACCTCTCTCTTATCCTCAAACTATCAACATTTTAACAGAATATAGCAACCCACAGATAGGCTCATGACAACAAATTTCCCCACTACACAGTCCTTCTAATTGATACACCTAGGAAGGTTTATATCAAATATGTGATGGATATATTTTGCTTACTCCTAAAATAGGACAACTAAGCCAAAAGGCCCTTTCATGCTGGGAATAGAAAAACCATGCTCTCTTAATTTTTTAAAGATATTATTTATTTATTTGAGAGAGAGAGAGAAAGCATGAGCAGGGGGAGGGGTAGAGGGAGAAGCAGACTCCTTGCTGAGCAGGAAGTCTGATCATGCCCAGGACCCTGAGATTGTGACTTGAGCTGAAGGCAGACGCTTAACTGACTGAGCCACCCAGGTGCCTTGAAAACCATGCTCTTGATTCATAGCCCAAGAGTACTCGCCAAATGGAGTGGCTCCTCCCAAGAACCCTGTGACCATGCCATTATTTCACAGACAAATGATTGGTTTTCTACTGACTGGACAAGGCGACCAGGCATCAGACAGCTTGCACCTAATAGAACATAAAGATTATGTGGGCCAAATTTGTGACCATAGCTTCCACCAGGCTGGATTGGAAGATGCACTATGCATGACCTTAGCACTAGGACTATCACAATTCCAGCTAATCTTCCATATCTAAAACAATGATAGACAAGATCCGTGTTTCATTGGTATGAGCATCTGATGTCTCTTTTTCTTCCATCAATAGATTTAGAAGATGTCAATGGCACATGGAGGCCCTTGATAAATACACAATTAAGGACTTAAATGATTCTGAAGATAGCATTATGTTATTAAACACTAAAGTAACTCATGTGTAAGTAATTCTATAAAATAGAATGGCATTAGATGTCTTAGCAGGGGCACAAGAAGGAACATGTGCCATTATTACAGTGGAATGTTGTGTCTATCTTCCAGATGATAACAAAAATATAACAGAATTACCGATATGAGTAATCAAATTGGTGCTCTTTTTTTTTTAAAAGATTTTATTTATTTATTTGACAGACAGAGATCACAAGTAGGCAGAGAGGCAGGCAGAGAGAGAGGAGGAAGCAGGCTCCCTGCTGAGAGGAGAGCCCGATGTGGGACTTGATCCCAGGATCCTGGGATCATGACCTGAGCTGAAGGCAGAGGCGTAATCCACTGAGCCACCCAGTTGCCCCCAAATTGGTGCTCTTAAAGTCCCTACACTGCCACTTAATGACTGGTTACATTCCTGGTTAGAAAGTGGACTGTGGTCCACGCTGAAGGATCTTCTCATTGCTCTTCTTATTTTCATTATAACAATACTAATATATTGTCTCTTTCACTTTGTTCTCTCCTATTGTCCAGATACATGCAAGCAGTTCCTGACTCCTTTGCCCAGCTGACAGATGATTCTTACTACTCGAAACAAATTTATTCCAATGTTCATTCTGGGCTATATAGCAATGGCTTCTGTAATTTATTTATAGAGACAAATAGTGACCATTTTCATTCCATAGCTAGGGACATCTCTATGGCCCCTGTCAGCTTGAAGAAGTTATAGAAGATGAGCCTTTCACCCTTCAACAACTTTAAAGATTTAAGGACCAAAAATTGGTTTGGGGGGAAATGATGAGGGATGGAAGGAGAAAAATGTTCACCTTTAGCCCAGTAGGTTGACCTATAGCCTGTATAGTCTTGATAAGGATCAAATGTGTGCTGGTTGCTACATTCTAAAAGGGTCTCATGACTGCCTATACATCTCATCAATAGTTAATAGTGGGCTGAATGATAAGCACCAGAAAATCTTGGAAAAGTAGTTTTAGGAATAGAAATTTTAAGAAAACATTCATGATCTAATCTTTCTTGCACATCTTCTCCCCCTTGAGAACTAAGCATATAACTGGCTTCATATAAGGTCCTGTCCTTGTGCTACTTAAATAAACTTACTAAGTTGTACCATACAATGTCTCAGGAATGCTTTCTTGGCCTTTGGATTCCACAATCCTGCAACAGTACATTTGTTGCAAGCGATGAATCTAAACTGACACATCATAATTGCCCAAAATCTAGAGTTAATATCACTGGTTTACTTTTTTTTTTTTTAAGAGAATAGGGGCACCTGGGTGACTCAGATGGTATGGCGTCTGCCTTCCACTCAGGTGATGATCTCAGGGTTCTGGGATCAAGCTTGCTTCTCCCTCTCTCTCTGCCTGCCTCTGCCTACTTGTGCTCTCTCTGTCAAGTAAATAAATTAATAAATAAAACTTAACAAAAAAATAAAAGAATAATTTTTATCTAGGTACAGTGCATTTATTGCTATGGAAAGATACCCATATTATTTTGACAAGAAATTTAAAATCTATGAGGATGAATCCGATATTTAAATAGAAAATGTATAAGCATAATAAAGCTGAAATGGCTCTATACCACCATGTAACAGTAGGAATCCTAGGATATTGCCAGAATCCATACATCATAAGCAAACTTTTCAGTAACTGAATTGGCGAAGACATCTGAAATTGACTTGAGTACTACTCACTGATATTACCTTGTGGTTTTTTTTTTTTCCCCTACAATTTACTGCATAAGACCCTAATACCTGAGGGTACTGGCAATACAAGTATACCAACTCTCGTTTTTTAAAATTTGTTTTTAAGATTTTATTTATCTATTTGACAGCAACAGAGTGAGAGAGCTAGAGAGCTGGCGCAAGAGAGCATGCGAGCACACAAGTAGGGGGGAGTGGAAGAGGGAGAAGCATGCTTCCAGCTGAGCAGGGAGCCCCATGCAGTGCTCAATCCCAGAACCCCAGGATTAATCCCAGACCCCAGAATTATGACCTGAGCCAGAGGCAGATGCTTAACGCTTAACGACTGAGGCTCGCAGGGGCCCCCAAGGCTCAGTTTTATCTAGCACAGCGTTAATTGACTTCAGTATAGTTAAGAGATGGAAACTGTGGTTAAGAAATCTTGAAATACGGCTAAAGTTTCTCAAGAAAAAAGGGAACCCTGACTAGTGAACTGCATGTTTTCTGATTCTAGAGGTTTAAGAAGGTGAAAAAGGCTGAAGAGATTGAATCAGAAATCAGGTATTCTGGGCAACAGTGGTCATCTCTAGGCGATAATGTCACGAGGTTGGGAAATGGATTGGGGGTGGGGAGAGGAGGGAGATAGTTATAAAGGAGTCCTAAGGTGCCACTGGCTGTCACACAGTAAGTTCTCTTTAAGAAAACTGTAATCAGAAGCCCCCTCCCCTACACTGAGTCAAGTATTCAGGTAGGTCCAGATGTTCAGATTTCGTGAACCAAAGGAAACTTAGAGTCGGAGGAGGACGGAGCTTGCATGCTGGGTCGCGTGTGCGCTCGGGCCGGTGATCTCCCGTTGCAGAAAACCTGTGAAGTAACAATGGGAGACGCCGCACTTTAAAGTCTAGAATCAGAACATGCCAGATTGGCTCCTAGTGAAAAACAATCCTATGAATCTTGTGGAGGTAGTCAGCCGCCGCCAGGATCCACCTCTCCCGGGGCGGTGGACCACGTCCCACTTCCCCAGGAGGTGGGCCAGCTTAGAACCGTGGCTTCCAGAAGCACCCGCACGCACTGAAGCGCCTACTGCCGCGTGCCTCGGAAGCTTCCCAGAGGCGGGCCGGTGCCTAGTGCGCAGGTGCGGGAAGCTGGCCCGGGGCTTCGAGCCAGGCACTGGCAGTTACGCGTCCGCCTCCGCAGGCGCTGCCTGCCGTTTACTTTTGAAAGGCTGCCGCGCGCTCTTTCCCATTGGCGGACGCCACACAGTTGAACGTTGCCGGGAGACTGCGCTTGCGTCCTGAGGCTCCGCGAGGCCCCGCCCCGTCTGGGCGCCTGAAATCCCTCAGGGCGGAGGAGGGCGGGGACGCCAAGCATCTCGGGGACGCGGAGCGTGGAGGCCGTAGAGCTGTTCTGGCCTGTGGAGTAGGTTGGTTTCAAACTCCCCGCGGTGAGTCTAAGGAGCGTCTTGGAGGGGTCCGTCTTCTTTGTCTGTAAGCACAGGCTGGTGTACTGGGTGTGTTTGGGGAGAGTTTAGGGGCTTGGTGATGGAGAGCGTGGGCACGGGTCCTGCATTTACTCTCTCTCGTCCCAGAGGAGGAGGTTGCGGAACCTCGTTTTCCTCCCTCGGGTGCGGAGCTGAGTTTCTGTTTGAGAGCAGGCCGCGTGTGGTGGTGAGGGTGAGAAGAGCGGGACTCCACAGACATGGTCTTCCTCGCGTGGTTTCGGGCGGGGGGCGCGGGGGCGGTGGAAGTGCATTGGGGGGGGGGGGGGAGGCTCGGAAAGATTTGCCCTAAACCTTGGAGAAAGGGAAGGGTACGGTTATGTTGCGGCCCTTTGTGAGAGGTTCTCATGAGACTTAATAGTGGGTGTAATTATGCCCATTTTACAGGTGTGAAACCTCAGTTCTGAGAGGCATTAGGAAAAACTGACCCAGGGCGCCACAACATTTAAATGGCATAACTGAGACATGTGCAGACAGACGCATTGATGGGGATAACCTAAATCAGTATTTGTCAGATTAGGCTGGCAAAATCTTTCGCTCCCACGGATGTTTCTTGTTTTCAAGTTGACTTGAAGAAGTTAAATGCGCATGAATGTTTGCTCCGTCATCATCATTGTTGGCTAACATTTTCAAGTGCTCGTAAGATACTTGACGCTACAAAAAGAGGTCCTTTGTGACCATTTATTTGGTCACAGGATTGTTGGAATTTTCAGTGTACAAGTGATACCTCTCCTGCACCACCAACTGTTGATATTTCTCACTATTTTTATAAAAACACAATGAGGCTTAGGGGAGATAAATGTCGAGGATTGAAATAACCTTTCCTGTGATGTCATATTTAATCTGTTCTTTGAGAATGCAAACCTAAAATATTAAGGTAAAATTATTTTAATTTTAGAACACGAATAAAAGAAACTGAGTAAGTTGGAGAAGATAAAGTATATTCAGTCGCTAATCCAGAAGATCAGCAGCAAAGTAGGTAAGCTCTGAAAGATTAAGTGAATACAAAATTCTCAGTAAATTTTTTTGAGTGTATGATTTAAAGTGGAAGTTGAGATTTTTAAATCTGAAAAAAGACATGTTGGTGTATAAAATTCAAGCCATCTGGGAGGAGCATAAAGTGAAAACAGCTCCCTCATCTGACCTGTACCTTAAAGTTAGTTACTTTTGTGTACCCTTTCAGAAATTTTACAGGGATTTGTGTACATCTAAACAAACAAATGGTATCATTTTATACATACAGACCTGCAAGTTGCATTTATTCCTTACCTGATATAAAAACTATGCATTTACATACTGATTTGTCTTTTTTTTTTTTTTTTTTTTGATGGCTCTGTAGCTACCCTTTGAAGTAAGGTACAATAATTTAGTTGGGGAAGGTGAAAATTTTGATTTTAGGTCATGTTAATTTTAACATTGCCTTTCAGCAAACATTGCTGAATATACTTTCACTGTGAAAAGTGCTGAGGAAAAAAATGAAAACCTGAATTTCTCATTTCAGTTCTTGGTTAAATCACATAAGTAGTTTCTTTTTTAGTTTGGGGAAATAGGTTGATGTCAAATGCAAGAACAATGCAAATGGGCAGAGTTAAAGTCATATTCGACCATAGGATTTTTTTTTTTTTTTTAATTTGAAAGGGTTATGGTGACCTATTATTTTTGTATATTCAGATGTACAAACGTATTTTTTAAATTTTGCCCTATGTATATAGATGACACAATTGTCGTATTTCTGAAGTAATCTTGAATTGCATAAAATGTGCCTTGTATCAGTTAGGGCCACAAAGATGTGAGACCCAATCAGAATTTTCCCAGGCTTATAGCTGACTCACACTATAAGTTCTGGAGCAAGTCACTTAAACTCTATAATGTGGTAAACATAATTTTCTTCAGAGGTTGTAAAATATAATGGAATTTTTATTACTATTCATGTTTAGAGATGAAAGAGGCATTGTTAGTGAATTAAAACTTAAAAAATCATTTACACATACTGTGTAAGAGAATGGATAATATTTTTTTGTACTGTTTAATTCTCCATAATCTCTTTCTACTGACCATTCACTATTCTAGTTAGACATCATGGAGGCTCTGTAGGAAATCTACTTTTCGGAGAATGCATTAAAAGTTTAGAAATTCAGAAGTGTATTTGTTTTTGACACTAAAACACAAGAATTTTGTGAAATAATTTATAAGTGGGTGGTTTAGCCTCAATTTCTTTCTTTTTTTTTTTTTTTTTTTTTCAAAGACTTTATCTATTTGACAGACAGAGATCACAAGTAGGCAGAGAGGCAGGCAGAGAGAGGGGGGAAACAGGCTCCCTGCTGAGCAGGGAGCCCGATTCGGTGCTTGATCCCAGGACCCTGAGATCATGACCTGAGCCAAAGGCAGAGGCTTTAACCTACTGAGCCACCCAGGTGCCCTAAGCCTCAGTTTCTGAAAAGATTTATTTTTATATTCATTTCTTGGTGACTTTTTATAAAGTTTTTAATTTTTTAAAAAAGATTTTATTTATTTAAGAGAGAGAGAAAGCGAAAAAATTTACCATTATAAGCAGTAAGTGTGCCGTGGAGGGTCATTAAGTTCATTCACATTGTTGTGCAACTGTCAGCACCCATCCGTCTCCAGAACTTTTTCCATCTTCCCAGACTAGAATTAAACAATAACTCTCCATCTCCTCTTCCTTTAGCCCCATTTCACTTTGTCTTTGTGGAGTGCTTACTAGTTTTTATATTACGTGCACTTTCCACATCTATTGCAATTAAAGTTTTTCCTCCATTGACCTGAGTAATTTTCAGTTATTAAATGAACTTATATTTCTGGGAAGAATCTCATTTTGATCATTGTACTCTGGATTTGGATTTGCTAATACTGTGTTCAGGATTTTTATATCAGTATCCATTTTTGAAGTTAGTCTATTTTAGTTTTTATTAGGTATTGGAATCATGTTATACTATTTTCAAAACAATTTGCAAACTCTACATCCTTGTATTGTAGAACAGTTGAACAAGAAATTGCCTCCTAAAAATTTGAAAGAGCTCCCCCAGAGAAGCTTGTCCCTTCTTTTTTTCAGAATAGCACTTTTCCAATTTGTGAATTTCTCTCATATTTTGCTTTATATATTTTCTGGTCAGCTTGGTATTTGAAGTGATATAGAGAATAATTCATTTTTGGTAACTCTTCCAAATATAGTAGCATAGAGTTAGGCAAGGTACTCTGATTTTAGATTTTTCTATTTTTGGTTTATTTCCTTTTTTCAATGCTGACTTTGTATATTTGTTGTTTCTTCCTTTTGTCTCTTGATGGGTTAGTGTATTAATCAATTGCTGCATAACAAATTATCCCAATATTTAGCAGCTTAAAAGAACAAATATTAAAATACAATTTCTGTGGGCCAGGCATCTAGGAGCGCTTAGCTGAGTGCCTCCAGCCCAGCGTCTCTCTCATGAGGCTGCAGTCATTGTAGGATTTCACTGGACCTGAAGTATCTTGCTAGTAAGCCCACTTATATAGCCATCAGCAGACTTCCAGTGGGCTATTAGACTGAGGGCTGTAGTCCCTGGTCATAACAAGTGGACCTTGGTCTGCTCACAACATGGCATCTCTCTCTCCCTCAGTGACAGTGATCTAAGAGAGATGGAGAGAGCCAGGTCATTCCTGATGGAAACCATGGTCTTATTACAAAACCTTGAAAGTAATATCCTGTTGCTTCTGCTGTATTTTCTTAGAAGGGGGTCTCCTGGGTGGCTCAGTCTGTTAAACGTCTTTCCTCGGCTCAGGTCATGATCCCTGAGCCCCGCATTGGGACCCTGCTGGGTGGGGAGTCTCCTCCTCTCTCTCCTGCTCCCCCTGCTTGTGCTCTCTACCTCTCTCAAATAAATAAATAAGTAAGTAAGTAAATAAATAAATAAATAAAATCTTAAGAGAGTCACTAGGTCCAATCTACACTCACGGGAAAGGGATTACAAAAGGACATGAGTACTAGGAAGTGGAGGTCATTGGGGGGCCATCTTGGATGCTGCCTATTCCGGATAGCTAGTGGCTTATTTATTTAAAGAGACAGCTCTTGGGTTTATCAATACCAGCAATTTTGTTAATTCATTGTTTTCTTCATTTATTTTTATTATTTTTCTTCTTCTTTTCCTAGGTCAGTTTTCCTTTTTTTCTCTTTCCCTTTAGATGAATCCTTTTTATATTCCTTTTGTTTGGTAATGAAAGTATATAGCTTCAGCTCTGCCCTATACAATTCTTTTTTTAAACCCTATAGATTTTCCTAAGTATTTTTGTCTCGCATGAATAAAGTACATCTTGGCTGGGTACAGAATTCCTAGGTCCTATCCTTTTTCTTCTAGACCCTGTGGACCTCGCTGTATGATTTCTTAGCATTCCTTGTTGCTTTGGAGATGTTCTGGTTATGTGTTACCCTGTAAGAAATACCCGAAGGCTTGGCTGGCTGCGTGTTCATGATGACTTTTTTGCTCACATGTCTGGTACTTCATTGCTTCTCTACTTTTCCTCTCTTGCTAGCAGAGTAGCCTGGACTTTGTTTTACATAGTGATTCATGGGTCTGGGACAGTAACCTGCCAGGCGAATTAAGGGCTGTACCCAGAACGGTCATAGCATCACTTGTACTTTATATCCTGTTGATCAAAGCAGTCACATGGCCTGCCCAGGTTTTTTGTGGGGAGAAGAGATTTCATCTTTTGATGGGGGAGTACCACTGAAGCCACATTGTGGGGAGTGTATGTGGGAGATAATGGTTGTGGCCATTTTTGGAAATTACAATTTCCCAGAATTCTGAGACCATTGTTTTTTCCTTTTTTAGATATCTTAGTTTTTTGCCTGGATGCTTGCTTGTAGGATTGTCTCTGTCTAAAATTTTATGTTTTTAGTTAGCTGTTAATAGTTAAAAATAAAATAGCAGTATTGAGGTTAATAATGAAAAAGAGTAGCCCCTGCTCTCACTCTTCCCACTCCTGATTCCTGCTCTCCAGAAGCAACCACTCTCATTTAATGATTTCTTTTTGTATCTGCTTCTAGATTTTTGGTATCTGCTTCTAGATTTTTTAATGTGACTTCTTGACTTTTTACTTTTGACTTTCTGGAAGTTTAAGATTTAGTTCTTAGGTTTGTTTGTTTATTTATTTATTTATTTATTTGACAGAGAAAGGGCACAAGTAGAGTGGTAGGCAGAGAGAGAGGGGGAAACAGCCTCCCCTGCAGAGCAGAGAACCCTATGTGGGGCTCTATTCCAGGATCTTGGGATCATGACCTGAGCCGAAGGCAGCCACTTAACCGACTGAGCCACCCCACTGCCCCTAAGATTTAGTTCTTAAACACTGTTTCCTTCCTTTATTCCCTCCAGCCAATATAATTGTCATTTTCTTAGTTTGGGCTGTTATAACAAAAATACCATGAACTTAAGTGGCCTAAACAATAGATTTCTTGTAGTTCTGGAGGCTGGGATTTCCAAGATCGGGATGTCCAAGATCAGTATGTCAGCATGGCTGGGTTCTGGTAAGAGTTCCCTTCCTGGGGCACCTGGGTGGCTCAGTTGTTGTGTCTGCCTTCAGCTCACATCATGATTCTAGGGTCCTGGGACTGAGCCCTGAGCCCTGTGTCAGGCTCCCTGCTCTGCAGGAAGCCTGCTTCTTCCTCTCCCACTCCCCCCAACCTTGGCTTGTGTTCCCTCTATTGCTATCTGTTAAACAAATCTTTAAAAACAAACAAACAAATGCTCCCTTCCTGGGTTGAAGATGGCCCTCTTAATGCTGTTGTCCTTATGTGGTGGAGAGCTGAGGAGAGGGAGCGAGCCATCCTGTCTCCTCTAAGGGCACTAATCTGTTCATGAGGGCTCTCTGCCCTTATGACCTCATCTCCCAAAGGCTTACTGATACCATCTCATTAACAGCTAGGATCTCAACATGAATTTTAGGGGGACACAGGCATTCAGTCCATAAGTCATGTTTTTTGGTAAAGTC